AGAGAGAGAGAGAGAGAGAGACCCTTTTCATATTATTTCATTTTTTTTAAATAAGAGAAAACATCAGAAATGGTCAATGTGGTAGTGAAATGACGAAAATGTCATTCAGTTAACGGACAAAACTTAACGGAGTTAGCAATAAGGACCAATCGTCAAAATTTTTGAAAACACATGGACCATCTATGATGTTTTTAAACCACGGGAACTAAACTTCAGATCTGAGGAAACCACATGGACCATTTATGATGTTTTTTCTAATTAATACAAAATACCTAAACAGTGCAAACATTCTGTTATAAAATCAAATTTTCTTTCACACTTACAGATTCTCTTCTAATAAAGATAATTTTTTGGAGTAAAACAAAACAAAACTACTTATTTTTTTGTTTTTGAAAAACTACCTGGTTTTTGTTTTTGAAAAGTTTTAATTATTTTTTCATTTTGAAACTTTTATAAAGAGTCAAATATGTTAAAATTTTATAATTTTGTTACAATCTTAAAATTTTACTGGTTGTAACATTCTAAATGGTATTGGGCATAGAATATATATCATTAGAATTAGAGTAAATTACACTGATGGTCCATATGGTTTAAGGTAATTTGTCCGTTGGTCCCTAACATTTTCTTAAGTGTTTCCTATGTTTGGTTTTATTGTGTATTTGGTTTCTATTACGCCTAAAATTACTATATTGTCCTCAATATTTTTTTAAAACAATTTATTAACTATTAATTATTTAATTATATATTTAAAGTATAAAAACAAATCCTCAAACGCCACGTTCGCACCCCACTACTACTCCAAACCAACTTTCTCTTTTTCTAATCATCTGATTCCTTCTTCTCTAACCATTCATTGACACCATTACTATCATCAACTGAGAAACATTTGGGGTGACATCGATAACCATTAGGGCACCTCCACCGGTAACTATTAGGCCGCCGCTACAATCTACATCAAACCCAAGATCCATCGCTGCTGCTATCATGGTTATTTACAACGAACAAAAACCAGAATAGACGTTTACAAACTCAATATCATGTCGTCTCCGCTACTAACATGAGTTTTTTTTTCATATTTTTTGACTATGAGATGTATGCTAGAAATATTCTCTTTTTTATCACAAAGCGAAGGCATAGCTTCAAACTAAGATATATATATATATATATATATATATATATATATATATATATATATATATATATAATTCTTAAACCTCATTTCACGGAGTCTTACGTGAAATATAGTCGTTTATATTCTTTTGGTATATGAATTTAAAATGTGGATAACATTATGCAGTTGATCAAGGAAAGCGGAATCGATTTATTGAGTCTACCACCGATAAGGTTGGGAGAGGAGAGGGAAATTCATTATGAAGCGGTGACGACGTCTATAAAGAAAGCACTTCGACTTCATCGTGCCATCCAAGCTAAAGATGGTCACTGGCCTGCTGACTATGATGCCCCCTTGTTCATCACCCCACCCCTTGTGAGTTTTTTACCGTTAATTAAAAATTCGGTCTTTAGACTACTTACATTCGTTTGCTATTAGAAATGGATTGCATACCGTTAATTAAAAAGACTACTTACATTCGTTTGCTATTAGGAATGGATTACATACACTTTCACAAGAAAACAGACTAAATTATATCTAAAAGATAAAACTTATAAATAGAAGTGACTCATCTACGCAACTTAGTTTTCAATGGCTTGGTAACCCTTTTTGTTTGCCACGTATCTGTATTTGTTATTTCATTTATATTTGGGTTGTAATATTAGTCATATACGAAAGGGACAAAGGCACTCAGGTCAATTATATATATATATATATATATATATTATATATATATATATATATATATATATATATATTATATATATATATATTCTAAAAATCAATTTTTTATGAGCTCAAAGCTGGTTTTTGCAAAAACCTGTCGGTTCTTACTGCTTCCAAATCAGACCGGTTTTGGAGATTAAGAACAACATGAAAGAAGAAGTTTAAAACAAGGTTTTCTCATAAAATAACATCTACGGTTTGGGTTTAGGATTTAAACGTAACCCCTTAAAACTTAAGAACCATCAGAAGGGTTGGAGAATTAAGTACACTTTACCGCCACCATGGCATAGTGGTGTCATGGTGTTGGTACAATTGTTATATGTTGGTTGAAATAAGACTAGAAAAACTTACTAAAAACTTCAGTCATAATTAACTGTCAATATTTCGACCTCCAAACCTTGAAATATAAATCTCGTCGGTCAAAACCTTCATATATGACTTAGGAGGATAGGTCCAAAACTCATGATGATCCAACGATTTAAAATCCGGCGATCGTTTGAGTACTAAGGTTGTATCACCTTTTTCTTGATCAGCGTCTCTCTGGATATGCACTCTCTCTTGAAGATTTTTTCAGCAGTTATTACACTAAATTCTCTAGGAACGTAGATGAACATATAGACCATGATGCTAGGGAAATTTCTAGTATCTATGCTTAAAACTGATCGTTTCCTTATTTTCGTGACTCACAAATTATGATCTCAACCCTAAGGTATTGTGGCTATCAGAAGAAAATGAAAAGCTTACTTGGTAAGAATGCAATGGCAGCCACAAGAGACCTCTTCTTCCTCCCACATTCTCCAACCTTATACCTCCTACCCTAAACCTTTCCAATTTCTAATCCTTTCTCGCTTCTTTTTCGCTTGGTTCTTTCTTTTTCTTTGTCGAATATGCAAACCAATGTTTAAAAGATAATATAATCTTTAAACTTAAATAGTTTTTAGTTATATCTAATTTCGATTTAATGTTTTCTTCAACTATTTGTGTTGTTATTTAAGTTAAAAACTATTCTACTCGATCTAAAATAATAGTCTTTAGACATTTTACTAGTTTCTTTGACATTTAATACAATTTTTAAATTAATAACTTAAGTATACTGAGTTGAAAATTTCGAAAATAATATCAAAACTAAAGTAATATAGAGTTTTAATTTAAATAAATCAAATTTCAATGGTACATAATAAAGATTTATTTTTAACCACATGAAAAAAAAAGTTATAAACATAAGATACACCCAAATAACTAATATTAATTAATATTAGAGTAATATAGAATATCTTCCATCATATTTATTTAAAACTTCTAATATTGATTCGAAAATTACATATATATATATATATATATATATATATATATATATATATATATATATATATATATATATATATATATATATGGAAAAGTTCAATAGAGAACCATAATTATTGGTTTTTCAACGAACCAAATCTTTTTTTCAATTTCTAGAGTTTATTCTTTATCGAAAAAAAATCTAAAAATGTCTAAATTCATATATTAACATTGTGAATGTGAAAAATATTTTTCAGATTCACCGTGTGAATCCGGATTCACATTGTGAATTTGACGTAAAAAAAGAAAATCGAATTTGATATCATTGGAAAAAAATATTAAAAATTATGAATTTCTGTATTTTTAGTTTTTTTTTTTTTTTTGATAAAAAATAAGTTCAAAAAGTTGAAAAAAAGATTGGTTCCTTGGTTAATTATGGTTCTCTATTGAACCTCACCATATATATATATATATATATATATATATATATATATATATATATATATATATATAGAGAGAGAGAGACCAAATCCGGTGAAAACTACGAGGATAATTCTTAGCCTATCGATTTATGAAGGGTAAATTTGTTAAAATTAATTAAACAAAGTTGGGTTATATGTTACAGCCAAACTGGACCACAGCCAAACTGGACCACTAACGTATAGTTGGACTTTACGTTGCGCGCCGCCGAAACTTAGCCGCTTCCTTTTTATTGGATTGAATAATGTTGGGTCGAATATATATCTTTGCCAAATGCCTAATCAAATTATGAAGGCGTGAAGTTTTTGTGTATGTGGCCCACGAGTCTGTGCAACATAAAATGAAACTAAATCAATATTTTTCTTTTGAACGGACGCTATAACATTATAAGGGGTGTTTGACAAAACTTAAAAAATGAGCTTTTTGACTTATTACCGGTTTTATATTGGTATAAGTCAAAAAAAGTGTTTGGATAAAAAACAACTTATAACTGTTGGCAACCTCTAATAAGTGAAAAAGTGATAAGTAACCTATTCCGTACTTATTAAAAACTCTTTATTTCACCAAAATAAGTTATAAGTCAAAAAGTCATAAGTATTTTTAAATAAGCTTTGTCAAACACCCTCTAAATGCATTCCATTTGTCTTTCCTTTAATATTATATAGTTATATGATTATAAAATTAATTAAATTTTTATTAATAAATTATTATAAATAATTTTTTTAATTAAGATATATATATTTTTAATTATGTAAAATTATAACCGTTGATTCAAATAAATATATGAAATTAATTTTGAAGATATATGAGACACTCTTTATTTGTGAATTAATAAAAAAAAATAATGATATTATATAATAAAATATTAAATTTATTATAAAAATAAAACAACCACAGTAAGTGAAGTAAATTAAAACAAATAAGGTATATTGTTAAACTGGACATATGTAATTAAATAATTTTTATTAATTTTATTTATTTTTAAAAATGATATCGAATTTTAAAGTTTGAGACATTCTGTTTATCAATTAAATGTATTCATATTAGTTGATTTAGATATAGCAACATAAACATATATATATTAATATCTTTTTAGTTTTTTTTGTTTAAATATGTTATTTTATATTAGTATTTAAATAGAAATAACTATAAACAAATAATTATGACAATATAGTAACTCTCTGCAGATTTATAGGGATTATTATTTATTATAGGAGTAAGCATGTGAGTGACACGTGATAAGCATTAAAATTGGAGATATAATAGACTGACATGTGACAAATAATTAATATGGAGGTGTATTAGAATGATACATGACCAAAAAAAAACTATTCGTTTATTAGTATTAGTAGATTTGTGCAAATCAAAATATATATATTTCTTTATGATATTTCTCTTTTCTTATTTTTTTAATTTTCTTTTATATAAGTTTTTTAATTTAAATTTGTTTTGGATCGTAAGATCATATAAATATTATATTAGATTATAACTTTTTGTATCATATTATTAGATCATTATTAGGTCATTTTAGATGATAAATTGCTTTAAATTATTATATTTTTTATATTTTTTTATTTTTCTTCGTTTTTTTGGCTTTTTTATGTTTTATTTTTGTTTTTTATTATATATTATGAAGTTATTAGTGTTTTTTGTTTTTGTTTATTTTTTTTTATTTTTTTTTTTGAACTGAATATCGGTTAAAGTTTTTGATGTTTTTATAATTATAAAAGTTTCGAATCATTAAGATATTAAGGATAAAATTTTGGATCATAAAATTTTAGATCAAATCCTTTTGAATCATTGTATTTTGTACCATTTTAATTTTTAATGATCTAACTTTGAATCCATAATATATTTAATTAAATAAAGTTTTTGTTCATAACAAATTTTAGATCAACATATATTTTAAATCATTTAATTTTGAATCACAAAAAATATAATTAAGGTTCATAAATTATATGAATCAAAATATTTTAAATTATAACAAATTAAAGATCATAAACATGTTGAATCATAACTATTTTGAATCATATATTTTGGATCGTATTATGTTCAACTTTTTTTTTTACAAAAACTTATAATTTTTTAAAATAAAGTTTGATATCTAAACAACCTTATTTTTTTAAATTTTTTTTTTGGAAAGTTAATAATATATGATATATAATAAACCTTTAAACAAATTTTCACTTTGGAGAATGAAAATTTTCACATCTTATTTTTTATAAAAAGTTAGAATCATTTAAACAAAACATTAGCATCCTAAACAATAATATTTTCAAAAATTTCTTTTACAAGCTCACTAAAAACTTTTACGAAGAACTATATCATTTGCTTTTTTAAATTTAGATAAAACAATTTTCGTTATATTTTATAAAAAAAGAATTCTTTAAATTAAAATATAAACACTTAAGGATCATAAAATGTTGAATCATAAACTTTTTGGATCATAGTATTTTAAATAATCTTACTTTAAATCATATTATTTTCAGTTTTATATTTTTTTTAAAAATTGTAATCTTTTAAAATAAAGTGTGATAGCTAAACAATCTTAACAATACTATTTTCAAAAAAAAAAATTTATAAGCTCGCTAAAATAGTAAGACCAATAACTTCTTCCTTCGCTTTTTTGAATTTGGATAAAAAATCGTTATATTTTATAAAAACTATTCTTTCTTAAAATAAAATATGAACACTTTAAAAACTTATTTTTAGATAATTATTTTTAAAAAGTCACTTTTATAGTAAATAGAAATATCACTTAAACTTTTATGATTTTTGGAGATTTTGTTTTTTATTTTTTGGTTTTTTACAAAATAAAAAATTAGAAAAATATTTTTTTTTTCAAAATTTCATTATTATGTTCATTTTTGTAGAGAATTACATTT